AAAAAAAAAAAAAAAAAAAACCTTCCATCTAAGGGTTAACTACATAATAGCAAAACCAGAAACAGCTAGCGGCAATTATTGCCTATAAAAATAACAATAGCAAACATGGAAGCTACATATGATACACTTATAAACTAACAATACGAAAAATAGTCTAGCAGGAAAATTAAATGTTTACGTATTAAATAACAAATATCTGCAATGGCAACCAATTACATTATTCAAGAAATATTTACTTTCAATAAATTATGGTTTGTGGGAGATATGCTAGAATGTTTAATGATATACTTTTGCAACAAATTACAGCCTATCTAAGTGATTTTCACCTAAAACTTACATGGCATTGTGAGCAGGGACTTAAATGTATTTAATGCAAAACGTATGTATAAATTTCAACTTTGAAACGGTGTGCGGTATTAGGATCATTGCTACGTCTCCAGACATAATATCTTTTATATTCGACTTGATGTTTTCTACCTCAACTTAGTTAGTCAGATACTCTAAATTTTCAGCTTTTTACTGCATCAGTCCATACAGTCAATGCATCAATGCTAGATGATAAAAGACTACAGCACATGGAAGTCCATAAAAAGTAAATATCTTTCTCAACAAATAAACCTTAAGATATTTGTATTTCTTGCACTTAAAAGTTCAGTTTGATTAGATATTAGATATATATGTGGTATCTTTTCTGGATCAATTCATAAGTTTCTTATTGTGCAGGCAAAACAAAGAGGAGATAGAACGTTGTCAGTGGATTCAGTAAAACGTGGCCAATGATCTGAAGTAAAAGATTCTGGAAAACCAGCCAATACAGAAGTTTCAATGGATAGCAACCTAGATGAAATTTAATAAATGCTTGCATCGTACTCTATGTAGTAAACTTGCAACAAAGCCACCACTATTAAAATTTTGCCTTCAGAATGCCTACATGAGTTTTCGTGAGCCATTTCTGCATTTGCATGCTTACACAAGATATACAAATTCCTCAATCCTCACTCTTTATACTATAAACATAATAGGTAGCATGGGTAAATATAAATAAGGTCAGTACAAAAAGCTCTCTATTTCGTTCATTTAATTACCACAGAAGAACTATGACCAATCATACACATAAATATAAGTATGTTTTGCATTATATATCAATTCGCAAAAAGCAACTTAAGCTAGAATAAGTGACAGAATAATAGATTTCCAAGATTTAAAGCTCTTTAAGTATGACTAAAAGGATAAATATTTATGGTATTTGAGCAAATATCTAGTAGTACAAATGCAACAAAAGTATACCTTCAGCCAGCAACGTTGATCGTGAAAGACACCATCAAGATTGTCAAACTTAAAGTTCCTTCTTTCTTTTGTTGAAGTTTGTTTATTGAGATGGATATAGCTAATTGGTTGTCAATGAAACTATGTGTTGCCCTGAGTGCAAAGAAGAGTTGGCCTTTTTTTCCAGAATAGCATCTCAAGTAAGGACTGGCTCCATTTCTCTTTTAGTTATTACTAGCTTTTGATGAGTCACTATTAGATTAAATGGGTGGAGAAGCCTCTCTACCTCTTTAAAGTAGGGGTAAGGTCTGCTTGCACACTACACTCTCCAGACCCCACTTGTGGGATTACACGGGGTATGTTATTATTGTTGGGTGGAGAAGCAAAGACAAATAATCTGATTAGTTGATCTTAAACATAAGTCTATGACACTTTTTCTTCAACTAAGATAATGATCTCTGAAATTAGTAGGAATCACTACTTCCGACAATCCATCAAAAGTTTCACTTTTGTAGTCATCCTATGGATCAATTTTTTTTTTTTTATAAAGTAAAAAATTTCATCAAAAGAAGCGCAAAAAATGCCTGTATACAAGAGGTATACCAAAAGGTAGAAAAAGCTTCCGAAATGATATGATTTTCTATGAAAGACACCCAATCTTTTATACATATGGGAACCTCATGGGTGCACCAAAAAGGAATAAGAGGTAGAAGGTTATTCCTCAAGTGTACAAAACCATCTCTACTCCATCAAAAGCGCTCCAAATCCTCTCTCTTCATACAGTCCATAAGTATAGAGGAGCAGCATCCCATACCCTGTGTCTCCTCCGTCTTCCTAAGTTGCTCGGACACGGCAATTTGGGTGTCGTACCCGTGTCGACACGACACTGACATGGGTAAGAGTGTGGGATCTGTGTCAGATATGGTCAGACAAGATCGGGTGCGTTGACCAAAAATTTTCCCAATTGATTTCACTAAGTAAAGATTTGAAGAGATGGGAAACGAAATACCTTCAATTTCGTTGATATTCTCCTTCTTATATTAGTTTTTTTGTCTCCTTTGAAGCTTTTTGTCTTGGTCAATCGTCTTGTTCATGCTGCAGGTTTTTTAAATCAAGAGCTCCTGTTCTTTTCTGGGCAGAGAAGCAAAAGATGGGTGGTGGACTACTGGACTGAGGCATAATGGGTTTTGTACTGAAAAAAATAAAGAGATGGAAAAGGTTTTGTTGGGGAAGAAGATCAGAGATGGAAAGAAGAAGAGGCGAGTACAGAGAACGGATGAAGAATGAGACAAATTAGGAATTGACCATTTTTTAATTGACAGCTAATATTTTGTCGTTTATGAAGAGTTATAGCTGTCTCTCATTAAATATTGCATTCACTTGCAATATGGGCCACAAAAAAGAGTTACTGTAGCTCTTTGTAAAAAGTGATATGCTTTTTGACATACTTTACTTTTATGATCACGTTACTGTAGCAAATTTATTACAAGTGTGCAAACTTTTTTGTCTTAGCACGGCAAATATTAATACAAGTGTGCAAACTTTTAGCTGTATCCCCGCACCCGTATCGGTTCTAGGATTCGTATCCCCGAATCTTAAAATTTTCATCTTAAAGGATCCGACCTCTAGATCCGCACCCGTGTCGGACACCCGTACCCATGTCAGAGCAACTTAGCTGTCTTCTAAAGGTCTAACTAAATATTATTTCTTTCACAGTGCTCGACATTACTCACTCTGGTCCAAACCATCACAGGATTTCCCACCACAACTAAGACGCTATTCGACAAAGTAAATGGAAGTGATTCACATTTTTCCATGAGTCTTTACACATGAAGCGCCAACCAACAAATAAACTTCTTCCCCAAGTTCTCCACCGTCAAGATTACCCCACGCGCAGCTAGCCAAGTGAAAACATATACACCTTTCTCGACTCCTCCATAGTCATAAACTTCTCATAATAGGATTTACATAAAAGACACCATTTTCCCCCGCACCCCATCTCCTTACATCTTGACTATCATGTGCTTCGACCTTCCAGTCTTGCGCAAGTTGTTCCAAAACTTCAAATCCCAATGTGCTTCTCCCCTTGTAGACTCCATATCCTCTAGATCAGGCTGCAAACATAAATAAATAACTATGTTCTCTCTCTAATAGCTTGCGCTTTCAGATAAGGTAGTTCACACAATTCAACATGTTCTCTCTTTCCGGATGGCACCAACTTAGGCAGAGGACTCGAGTTTGAGTTTTAACGCCGCCTATTAACAAAAATATTTCTATGTGTTAGGGTCAAGTAGAAAATGCACATCCTAATTGATGGAAGAGTAATACCAGGGATTCCTACCAAAAATTTGGGATCACCACCTATGTGCTAATTATGTGAAAATTATGTGCGTACAGACAAAGAAAGCTTGAGTCTAGAACTGACATATAACCAAGTGAAACATCCAAAGAGGAAAAAATAATTAAATGTCTGCGGAGAAAGCACCAAAAGAGTAAGTAATATAATCTAGGATCCAAGTAATCTAGGTCATCTGACCCTATGTCAATTGTCACTGTGTACTTTCTCTCTTCTTTTTCCTAGAGTAGTTTCTTCTTTCATTATTCTTACCTCTATTACTCCAATGGCACTCAACACAATTATGTGCATCGATGTTAAGGTTGGTGTCTAAAACTAAGGTATGACAAAGTGAAACATCTCAGGAGGAAAAAAGGATTAAATGCATCAAGGAGGTTCCAAAAGACCAAGTTGTGCAATCGTAAATCCAAGTAATCTAGGCGTCTGACATAGCGTCAGTTCAAACTATGTGCTCTCTTTCTTTTCTTTCTCCCAGAGTAGACTCTCTCATTCTCTCAAGTGCTACAAGGATATTATCAATCATTTATTAAAAGAAGAAGCTCTTCATATTATCAATCATTTATTAAAGGAAGAAGCACCCCTTATCTGCAAATTATGTGCACAAATGTGGAGAAGACTTGGTGTCTAGAATTAACATATTAGCAAGTGAAGCAACTCAAGAGGAAAAAATAATTAAATACATCAGGGGAAACGGTCAAAAAGGTAAATAAATCAATCGAAAAACCAAGTAATCTAGGTGATCTAACATTATGTCATTCTCACTCTACTACATAGTGTCAGTTAATACTATGTACTCTCTTTTTTCCTAGAGCAATTTCTTCTTGCTCTATTCTTGCAAAGTACTACAAAAAAGATTTTTGAAAATGGATGTTTTCCTTTTTTGAAATGGAAAGTGCTACAAGAAAGATTATAAATCTTTTTGAAGAAAGAAGCTTTTCATAGACAAAATTTTCTTTTTATTGAATAAGAACTTCTTTCTTTCATTTCCTTCAAGGGGTGGAACGTTGGAGGATTATGCATGATACTCAAGTTACATATTCTTTTAGATTTTTATACAAGCAAATGGTGTTGCCTCTATTGCTCCAACGGAATTCAACACAAATGTCAAAGGTGTTTTCATACGTCCAAAATTAGTTAGCACTTCCCCAACCTTGGTACCATCATTCTTCATCCTTTTACTAGTGAAACATGCTGATTAGAGTTCAAAATCTGTTTTGTTCCCATAGAAAGATTCTGATGACATCATGTTTCTATCATTGTAGGGAATTAAATTCACAAATACATGATATAAGCTTGTAATTTTCAAAATTTCTAGTAAATTAAAATTAGATAAAATACTTGATGATACTTAAATTAGATGCATCACGGGAAAGCTCCAAGAGACTAAGTAATGTAACTAATAATCCAAGAGGTACCTCACACTACACACACTCTTTCTCTTCTTTTTCCTAAAGAAGTTTCTTTTTTTATTGTTCTCTCAAAGTGTTATAAGGAAAATTATCAATCATTTATGGAAAGAAGAAGCTCTAAATATGTAAAGACTTCTTCACAGGGGCTATGAACTCCTCTTTCCTTACTTTTTTTTTTTTGGGCCCGGGGGGGGGGGGGGGGGGGGGAGTGATTGTGCATGATTCAAGTTATATATTACTAACTAGAACTGCTAGAGCTAACATCATATAACCCAATTGAGATATAGTGGTATAGGCTAACCTCTCTTAGTACCTTTTGGAGCACAATGCACGGTAGATCAAGATGTGAAGGACTAGGCCATTTTATCAACAATAATGAGATAAACTAGTATTTGCTGTTAATTCCCCCTGTTAAGTAGCCATGCATTATCATTGGAAACGCCCACTTCTCCGGCAAATAAAGATCTTTTGATCATTTCTTTGAATGAATAACAGAAGTTTGACCATACATACGCAAAAACCTCTAGTAAATTCAATCAAACACTTGACCTTCACTCTATTGTATTCGACCATTGTGTCCAATTGATCCTTCCTACGGGAAAAAACATTATACAGTTAGAATTGATATGCAATATACGGTACATCCTGTTTGGCAGAAAACTAATTGCTTAAAAAGCATATATTCCCCAAAACAGGAAAGTAAAGTGTGGGAGTGAATCCATACAATGAAATAAATGAAATAACCTCTACCCCTTCCGCATACTGTATAATTTTGTTATGGCCAAATACATTCAGCCCCTTAAAGTTGTCCATCCTTTTCACTTAAACACTCAATCTTAAGTGTGTTCCATTTGAACACTTTAAACAGGCTTTTACTGTCTTTTAGACACAAAATCATAGGCAGCAAAATACAAAAGGTGCGTGTAATTCACACATCAAAGTAACGAAACACGTGGATTTAACTTTTAAAAATTAAAAAATAAATAAATACACAAACCAGAAACCACCCCACCCATCGTCATCTTCCCAACGACCCCTCCTCGCCGGAAAACTAATTTTCGGCTATTTCTTTTCCAGCTCTGTCTTCTTCTCCAGAAATTTGGTCTCTTCTTCTTCCCCAACTGCTAATTTGCACACCTTTTGTATTTTGCAATCGTCATCTTCCCTAACAACCAATCTTCCCCAAATTTCTGAACAAGAAGAAAGGGGTTGTAATGGATAACCACCTGTCGGCAAGAAGAAAGGGGTTCCCCAAATTTGTCGTTAAGCTTTAACCTAAAAATCGTCATCTCGGCAAATTAAAAGAAAGAAGAAAGGGGTAACCACCTATCGGCAAATTAACTGTTGTAATGGAGATGGCATAGCAGAGAGGTGTAACCACCTGGCGGTATCAAAACTTCTAACGAAATTTTGTAGCTTTCAAATTTGAACTAATCCCGACATTGCCTCGCCGGAATAATTGGTACCGACAAACGGCAACCCATTTGGGCTCCCCACAAAACTTTTAGTTCTGAATGTGTTTTTGATGGGATCTTACAAACGAGAAACAAAAATAAAAAATTTATGGCGGTAGCCAAATTTAAAGGTGGCGGTGGTGGTAGTGTGCTTAGATTTGGAGGAGGAAATGATAGTAATGGTGTGAAAGATCTAAAAATTTAAAAGAAATACGAGGGGTACTAACCCGGCCAGCCAACCCAGAGGGCAGGCCGGTCATAGGTTCGAATCCTACTAACTTTCTTGGATCATCCTGTGGTTACCGGAAGATGAGAATAACAAAGCAGAAATTTAGAAATGAGCACGAAATGTTAATATATAAATTGTTTCATTATTAGTTATTTACAGGTCTTTTCGTTGCATTCACTTACAACAAGAAACAACCACCAGTGTTTGGTGCAGCACTTGTATTTTGGTGTATTCTTCTTTCTTTCCTTGGTCTTTCGTTCCGTCATATTTCTAATAACTTATCCAATTACAACGTATTTACAGGAAAAGTTTTCCGGCAAAAGCTATTATTTTCCGGCAAGTATGAAAGGTTTGTCTTTCGGACCATTTTTAGGCGCTTGAAAAATGCGAGAAACACTCACCTTGCCATGTCAGCATTTTGTGTCTAAATGACACATTAAAAGCTTGGTTAAAGTGTTCAAATGGAACAGACTTAAAACTGAGTGTTTAAGTGAAAAGGGTGGACAACTTTAAGGGGCTCGCGATGCATTTGGCTTTTTGTTATTTCTAATTTATATGCGCTAGTTTCATGTTAAGCTTGCCAGCAGCACATAAATTACAACAACAACAACAATAACAACATACCCGGTGTAATCCCACATAGTGGGGTCCGAGGAGGATGGTACGTAAACAGAATTTACCTTGGAGAGGTTATTCTCAATGGACCCTCAGTTGTAGCAATACTAGTTGAATTTCCTAAAAACTACGGTTTGGCCTAGTTATTGCAAGTACAAAGTACATTTTGAGCACATAGTAGCACTCTTGATAGAACGAAAGAAAACCAAAATGTGCTATGGATCACGTTATACATGTCAAAACCAAGGTTCCAAATTTTATTCTATCTTCAATACAATATGACCTAAATGTTCCAAACTTTCTCATCAACAACACCAACAGTAACGCAGTACACTATGGTCAAAGAATCGTTCTTCTAAAGCACAATAAACAGTAAGGAGTCGTTTGGTATGAGGTATAAAGGTGCTATAAAAATTTAATATCATCTTAATACTTTGTTTGGTTAGCAAATCAGGTATAAGTTACCCTGGTGTTAATTTTAACACTGGGATAACTTATACCTTATAGAAGATAGGATAATTAGTACCAGTATAACTTATATCTTCTTCTTAGATATTATAAAATTGTCATTCTTAATACAATATATCAAACAATGAATAAACAATAATCCCACCATAACTAATCCCAGCATAACTTATCCCAATATAACTTATACCAGTATAATTTATACCGGTATAATTCGTATTTCAACCAAACGACCCCTAAGGGATCGTTTGGTTAGGAAACAAGTTATCTCATGATTAATTATGTCGGGATTGTTATCCCACCCTCCCATAAGGAATAAAAATAACACTATAATCCGGGATAATTAATAATCTCAAATTTATTTCCGAAATTAATAATCTCGTATCCCTCGTACCAAACCAGCCCTAAAAACACAAAGAGAAAATACCATAGTGATGCAAAATAAGGAAATGGATACATGCAAGTATCGCATTACCTCACACATCATTAAAATCCACAAGTATCGCTCACCTTTGCCTGACAATAAAAAATAACAATCCAACAACAATAAAATCACGAGTCTATTAGTTTTTATATGTTTATTTTATTTAAAATTTTCCGTTGTTTAATTCGATTTTTGTTACCTAGATCAAATTTACACTACTTTATGCTACTTTACGAGCTATTGGTGATTCGCCCCATATAATATGGACTATTTTGAGTCTAAGGCCCAAACTTAAGAAACGATTTTGAGCCATTTCACTGCATTTTACCTGCACAAATATGTAAACCGTGATGAAGATAAGAATTGATACATGTGTTTTTTTTCTTATTTTTCTTTACATATTTTAGGATTAACATACGAAGATAAGAATAACTGTGATATGATTAAGGTCATTGTTCAGAAAGACTTCATTCATAGCTTGCTAACCGTTATTTTGTATAAGATTAACTTGAGATGAGTCTAAATTAAAATTAAGAAAGAATTACCGTAAAATACACTTGATTTCACACCATAACAAAAAATGATATATATTTTTAAGTTTTGCCCGACCTAGCCTATATTGTACAAATATGTTTTCTTACAACCATTGGTTCTAAAAGCCATGGAGTTAAATCTATGTTCTCACAATCAATGCGTTCACTCTCTTTTCTTCTCACATCTTTTATATATGCTTCAAAGGGTCGTCCGCCATTACTGCTTCTTCTTTGTATCACGTGGTTGCAATGTAAGAAAATTGAAGATTCAACATTCCACCACTAAACGCCATTCAACGTTTTGCTTTCAAAAATAAGACTTTTTGAGTTTGTTAGTTGTTTGGATTAGGTATTGTTCCAATTGATTGAAAATATCAAAAGGAGTTCAAAATTTAAATTTGAAGTGACTTGGTGTAGATTTGAGCAAGATTTGAGTTAAATTTCAGAAAAAACGCAAGGAAGAAGACGAAGTCAGTTTTTTGTATAATTATGTATAATCTTGTATAATAGTGTATAAACACATCTTATACACTATTATACATTTTTATACACCTTTATACAAGCGTCTGTATACGAACTTCTTCCACGATTTTCAGTTGCAATTCTTGTTCAAAATCAGTCCAAATCTCCTTTAAATGACTTCAAATTTTATATGAACCTTCTTATACTATTTTTAACAATTCTAGATAATACTCACTCCAAATTTCTCACAAAATCAAATTCGGAATCTAAACTCACATATTTAAACTTGTTAAAAATCTAATTTTCACCACCCAAATGGATTTGGTTTGATGAACTGATATTTGAGTTACAGTTACTGATTCGAAAATTAACTTAAAAGCTTGAGCAGTCTTTTTTTAAAATTAAATAGTAATTTTGAGAACTTATTGGAGTTGGATGTTGATCTTAGCCTATTATTTTTGGGCTAGTTGGTTGTAAATTAAAATATGAGCTATAAAATTGAAAAGTAGGGATCTCAATTGTTCTTGTTGGGATTTTTTTTCCTTCCTATACCATATATGAAACTTTATTACCAAATATGTGCATAGTTTCTAATTTACATGCCATGTTCACACTTTTTCTACAATTATTATACCATTCATTAAATACTAATTATTAGTAGCTGAATTCTTCCTAATTAGGCGCACTGCAAATCAGGAACGGAATATTCTAATTGATTTTGCGACCTTCAGATCAAATTTGAAACGGAAATCCTTTATCTTCAATTTAAAATCAAATTACATAGACTCTTTTCTGCAAAAACTCTATTCTTCGATATTTTTCCTTAAACCACAAATCAAAAAAGACAAAATCGTCAACAAATTCGAATCAAATTATAGAAATCAGTTCTGCAAAAGCTCAGTTCGTCGACTTTTTTTCTCAATCCACTGATCAAAAAAGCGACAAAATATTCAACAAATTCAAGTCAAATTGCAGAAGTCAATTCTGCCGATACTCTATTCTTCGTCTTTTTTTCTTAATCCAAAAAATAAAAATAAAAAACGACAAAATATTGAACAATACCTCAGCAACGACACGTAATCATGTCCAAAATCCCAATCATGGTACAATTAAATGGGAATTGGGATAACTATGACAGATTTAGAGATTTTCAAGTTGATGGCATTGTGTTCGATGAGGATGCAAGTCAACAAAAAATCTACAATGATGTCTAAAAACAGCTCTACAATTTAAACTACAAAGTCAACTTCAAATAATCTAAAAATAACTACAATTTATCTACAGTTACTGGGCAAACATGTAACACAACATCTACAATCATGTCTACATTATATCTACATTTTATACTATAATTAATCTTGTAATGTTCTGCATAAACTACAAAATAACTACAATTACACTACAAACAGGAAATACAACAACAAACTATTCTGTCCATAAAATATATATAGAATTTATACTATAAATAATCTTCAAATATGATACATAATCTGAAACCTACATACAATTACACTAGATACAAGAAAGACATCATTTATAATCATGTCTACATCATATCTACAATTTATACTACCAGTCATCTTCATATATTATAGATATATATAACATAAATACAATTAAACTATAAATTATATCTTGGGAATAGACTACTTGATACTTACCGAGTCATTGAGGACTTGTCCGGGGTGAGCCAGGGAAAATAATCATTCCTTCTTATCAACCTTTTTCACTCCAAGGTCTAACCAAGACTTAATTTGGTTATCCGTTATGGAAAACGGAGCCTTCCTCCTGTAACAACATATAAATGTCAAAAAAAAATTGTAGATTGAATTAGATATGTAAAAGATAAATGTTGAAATGCAAGTGTCAAAAATGCATTCATACCTCTTTGAACCTTTGTCGCTACAGTGGTATAACCACTTGTTGAAGTTATCTAAAATCTTCGAATCTACATCTTCACCAATAACAGTAGTAAAAGGGTGCTTGAGATAGAAAATTTTAGGTCCAACCGAGCTGCTACCCCCAGAACTGTATAGAGGGATAAATGGTGATCGGGCATGCTTTCCCGGATGCCTTGTTCTCCCCGGATGCATAGGTATTGCATCATCTTGTATGGGCTTGCCAAACTTAACCAACTGGGATAAGTTGTCAGGCAACTCAAAATCATCTAGTGTGACCTCCTTCTTCTCAACTCCTGATCCTTCTGAATCACCTAGATCCACATATTGTGCATCTGCACCTTCAATATCATGTTCCTCAATGACCTGTTTTGTCTGAGCTGCTACTGTCACTCCGTGAACTGGGGATTGTGCATTGATATCTTCCATCACTGTAACACAATTCATATCTTACTTAACAAGAATGTTAAAATTTACAAACAACAAGAAAATATCTCTGAATGACAGTATGATACCTACTTTGTCTTCATCAGCTGCAACTTGAAAATGTGTATATAAATCACCATGTGCTGGAAGATTTTTTGGACCAATTGCACCTTCAACATGTTCTGTTTAATAATTAAAAATGCTAAATAATACTGGATAATGGTGGCTTGAAAGTTGTAGCATATGTGTATCAAAATTATAGATAATTTTTGGATAAGTGTAGATATGT